AGCTGGGTACTGTGACAGGTGCCTGTAGTCCCAGCTACTTGGGAGACTGAGGCAAGAGAATCACGTAAGCCCAAGGGTTTGAGGTTGCTGTGAGCAGTGATGCCAAGGCACCCTACCCAGGGCGATATAGTGAGACTACCTCAAAAAAATAAAAAATACAAATTATACATTATATAATATACAACGTGAACACAGCCATGTCATGTTAACAGTTGCTGCTAAAGCTAATTTTTTAGTTTTGGCCAAAATGAGTCTCTAGTATTTTTATTCCATTGCATAATTTCCTGCTATTCTGACTTTTTAGTAATAGTTCTAATGTTCTAGATATCAGTGAATGTGTGTTTTATCTTCCACTTCTTTTGTCTTGATGTGATTGTTATTTTGTCCTCGAATACTTGGAATCTGCTTCTGTTATACTCTGTGGTGGTGGCCATTAATAGTGGACTGGAGTTCTTAGGAAGAAGCTGAAGGAAAGGAGTAGCCTCCTGCAAATTGTAGAAATTCTCCCCATAATGCAGAATGTTAAAATGTGTTATTTACAAAAAGATGAATGAATGTAAAATACCATAGACTTCAACCAAATCTCTATAACTGGGTTTTTAAAAATTAAAAAAAAAAATCCTATTTTGTTAAATGTATAGGTGACAGAAAGTTTGCTAATAAAATTTCTTGTTCACTAACGCTTTCCTTTTTTTTTTTTTTTAAACCTTTAGATGGTGAAGTCTACAGCTTTGGGACCCTTTCTTGGAGAAGTGAACCAGCAGAGATTTGTCCAAGTAGCCCTGTTCTAGAAAATGCCCTGGTTGGGCAATACGTTGTTACTGTGGCAACAGGAAGCTTCCACAATGGAGCCGTGACAGAAAGTGGTGTAGTGTACATGTGGGGGGAGAATTCTGCTGGCCAGTGTGCTGTAGCTAACCAGCAGTATGTGCCAGAACCAAGTCCTGTCAGCATTTCTGATTCTGAGACCAGTCCTTTGCTATCAGTCAGGATTTTGCAGTTGGCCTGTGGCGAGGAGCACACTCTGGCATTGTCAATCAGCAGAGAGATTTGGGCATGGGGTACTGGTTGTCAGTTGGGTCTCATCACCACCACCTTCCCAGTGACAAAGCCCCAAAAGATAGAACATCTCGCTGGGCGAGTGGTGCTCCAAGTTGCCTGTGGTGCTTTCCACAGCTTAGCACTTGTACAATGCCTCCCTTCTCAGGATTTGAAGCCAGTCCCAGAAAGATGCAACCAGTGCAGCCAGCTCTTAATCACCATGACTGACAAAGAAGACCATGTGATTATATCAGACAGCCATTGTTGCCCATTAGGTGTGACACTGTCAGAATCCCAGGCAGAAAGCCATGCCAGCGCTGCCATCAGCCCCTCACCTGAAACCCTTGGCAGCCAGGGAGTTGAGAACGCTCCTGCAGCAAAGGACGCGCCTGTCACCACTGAACTGAATGGGGAAAGCGTTCAGACCACCAGTGGCGATGCCATTTCTTCCCAACAGAATATCATGGGAACAACTGAAATTTCTTCTGCCAGAAACATACCATCATACCCTGACACCCAGGCAGTAAATGAGCACTTGCAGAAATTGTCAGATCATTCAATAAAAGAGGACTCAGAGAACAGTGAAAAGCCAGCAGCACCTCAGGTACCAGCTAAATTTTATAACATAAATGTGTGTCTGGAATTGAACCTTATCATATCAGCTGTTCTTTAGAAACTTTAAAATGTTTAGGGCTTGGTAGTACTTTTTATTTTTTGAGTTTGACTACAATTCTGTTTTATAAGGTAATTCCTAGATAAGGAAAGAACCTAAATTAATTCAGAATCACTTTTTATGTTCACGTTCCTGCCCTTTATGGTGTTGAAAGATGTCATGCTTGGCTTTGTAAGTAGCAAAATCCCATTTTAAACTTTTTTTCATGCTAGTAAAACTATAAATTTCCTAATAAATATACATATCTTCCCTCTAGCCACTGTTGAGGGAAATAAGGTA